AGCAGAATTCTGATAGCGAAAAAATGGAAATCAGATTTACTACCTAAAAAAGAAGAAATAATGGAAAAAATATTCGAAATAGCAGAAATGGACAGATTAAATATGATATTAGCAGAGAGAGATGATAACGCTTATAAGAAAAGATGGTTTAAAGTGTATAAATGGTTTGAAAAAAATGTAGAATGAACACTCCGAAACTGATTTGTACAATGGGAATGTACTTGGATTTTTATTTTTTGTTTGTTTGTTTGTTGGAAAAAGTATAAATAAATTCTTTTTTTTTAAAAAAAAGAATATTTGCATCCATATTTGCATCTTGGAAAAAATTATCTGTATATCTCCACGTTAATTATTCTTCTTTGCCTTTCTTCCAATTATAGCTGATGTCAGTATAGCAGTGGAGCTCCCTCCACTGGCAATCCAAAATGATTTTTAGGATTCCAAACACAAGAATATTTGCATCCATATTTGCATCTTGGAAAAAATTATCTGTATATCTCCACGTTAATTATTCTTCTTTGCCTTTCTTCCAATTATAGCTGATGTCAGTATAGCAGTGGAGCTCCCTCCACTGGCAATCCAAAATGATTTTTAGGATTCCAAACACAAGCTCTGTTGAGGCTGCAGGGAGAGCTTGGAACCTGAAACTCCTCAAGGTTATTGACAAAATTGCTCCCCATTGATCTCTCTTGTTCCTGGGACAGAAGCCAGCCCCATGGTTTACAGAAGAGCTGGGTAACCTAAAGAGAGCCAGAAGACATCTAGAAAGATACTGGAGGAAAAAGTCATATAGAATCCAACAGAGCGTGCTATAGAGCCCACTAGAAAATTTATGAAGCAGTGGTGCCTGTGGAAAATAATTATTTCTCTGCCACCATTACATCAGCCAGTTCACAGTGACAAAAAAAACCCCCCAATCGTTTAAGGTGTCTTAACATCTCCTAAATCTGAACCTTTACTGGAACAGGCAATTAGTTATGACACCTTTGCAAGATTTTGTGTTGATAAAATAGCACAAATACATTCTGATTCAGATGCCGGCTGTAATATAGGACAGGCAGAAGAAATGCTTAACACATTGTCTGGTTTGCTTATGAACCATTTTGACCTAGTTACTGTGATAGATGTTGAGAGGATGTTGAGAGGATCCTAGGATCTGTAAGCAGTGACTTGGGCACTGGAGCCTTGCCCATCGTGGTTGCTAAAACCAGGGGTCATTTCATAGAAAAAGAGTTGCAGGAGCTCATTAGCATAACTTATTAGCATATGCCACACACCCTGACATCACTGGAAGTGTGCTTACCTTCCACAATCTGATGAGATAGGACTAGCAATGTGGTATGGCCTGATATTATGTTCTTATTCCAGTGTGGGGTGTGTGTGGGGCAATGGAAGCAGGGTGATAGGGTCTCTCCAAGTGATTGCCAGAAGTGAGATGCGTCCTGGTCTTGTGTCTTACAGATAATCTTACAAATAATCTTTTGCATTTATATCATGCTTTCAACTTTAAAAGGATCATAATGCTGATTGTGTGAACTTAGGCAAATCACAAGAGGTAGAGCAGGAAGGGTTGCATCAGTGCTTAGTTCTTGTGGCCCTTTCTTACATGCCCAGGGAAATGCCAATCGCCACTTTGGGGCCAGGAAGCAATTTTTCTCCAGGCCAGTTTGGCCCCCAGTGATCCTGGAGGTTTTTTTTAAAAAATCATATTCTGGGCATGGAACAGGGGTCACTGGGGTGTGTGGGGGATATTGGTGAATTTCCTGCATTGTGCAGGAGGTTCTGCAGGAGGTCCCAGGTGCTTCTGCCTGTCAAAGGGGCTGGTGCACACTTCCGGTGATGTCAGGGTGTGTGGCATATGCTAATAAGTTATATTAATGAGCTCCTGCAGCTCTTTTTCTACGAAATGACCCCTGGTTTTAGCAACCACGATGGGCAAGGCTCCAATGCCCAAGTCACTGCTTACAGATCCTAGGATCATCTCAACATCTATCACAGTAACTAGGTCAAAATGGTTCATAAGCAAACCAGACAATGTATTAAGCATTTCCCACCACAGAGAACAATGGAGAGGATGGGGGCAACCTGTTTGGGGGACCGTAGAATTGGACCCCCTGGTCAAACGTGGTTGGTATCTTGGGGAGAGGCTCCAGCAGGTACCCTGCGAGTTTGGAGCCTCTCCCTCAAACTCCCTCCCCTCCAGCCCCCAGAATATACCCTATATTTTTGCCATTGACTTCAATGGCCCATAGGATATAATGGGGCCGAAACTGACATTCATCTGGCCCTTTTTCAGGCCTGGCATTCTAGCACAATGCCACTCGGACATCACATGCGAGAGGTGGAATTTGCCCCTACGAGGCCAAGGCCACCACCCGGGGCTCATGGAGGCAAGGGAATGTTTCGCCCCACCCTCCCCCCGTGGGCGCGGCCATAACTTTTTAAAGAGCTCTTATCGAGAGCTGGGGGAGCCAGAATGGCCAGAATGTTGGATTGGCTACACATTACCTAGAGCATAGGATGGGAGTTTTCACAGAGGGACTATGCAGTGGGTTTGTGACTGCAGTGACAGAGCACTGATGCTAAACCCATTCTAGGAGCTGTCATTCGAGTCCCAGAGCACTGATTCCAGTCCCAGGGACTGTCATTCCACTCTGGGGGCCATTATTCCAGTTCAAGAACACCTGTGCTACCAAAGGAAGGTGAAGCATATATATATATTGTTCCTGTTCCCCTGAACCCAAACATCAGCTCGATTTCTGCTTAGATCAGTTCAGATGAAAGTCAGAGTACTTGTCAAGTGAAACAAAGAGCATCAAAGATTATGTGGTATGCTTGAATTTGAGGGAATCCAGGTTCCCCACTGGTCTACCCCCTGGCAACCACCACTGTGGACATAGCAAAAAATTGCCATATGGCAATTCATGTCCATGGGTGTATGTGGGAAAAACTGAGCGTCCTATCAAAGTTCGGGTGTTTGAACACATTTTCTGCATTAGGAATAACAATTTAGATGCTGCTTTAACTGAGCATTTTGTTCAAAACCATCATGCTTGTGATGATTTTTGTTATTCAGTTTTATTAGTTGCTAATACTACTGTCAACATAAGAAAGGTGTTGCTGCAAGAAGAGGCTAGATGGGTATACTGGTTGAATTCACTATTACCTCATGGGCTAAACTCAGAACTTGATCTTAGTTGTTTTCTACATTCATACCTGTATTATGCTAGTTGTAAGTTCAGAACTTTGGCATAGAATGTAAATCTCCTCACGTCTGGTATTGTTCCCACAGAGTGTCTTTTGAAAATCACACCCTGTCATTTTAAACATGGTTATAATGTCCAGCCACGGCTGCTTTGACACTGAATAAAAAAGGTTTTGATATTTATATAGACTCTTAATATGTGAAAGTAATAATATAGATGGCAAATTACAGTTGGGTTTTTATAAATAGAAAAAAGCATACATGGATACACTAGCACTTTAAATGCTGTTTGCATAGGCAGACCGTGGCTGGTAGCAATTAGTAGTGGAGACTTTATGTTCGGCTTCTAGAATCCAGCTAATACATTGTGAAGACCTTTGGTTCTGTTATTAGAGACAGTTTTGAGTGTAATGGTTTATTATGATTTTTTAGCTACATTTATAATTGAATGTGTATCTTCTTCCTTCTAGTGATAAGAATTGTGATTGCTCCACGCTCAGATAAAGCAAATATTGTGAAATGAATTGTTTACATTGTGCCGCATTCCTTAGTGTGTGAGCAATAATAGAAGAGAATTTCCTACAGAATTACTACAGTAAATGATTTTGCAACAGATCTTTATTGACTCTACATTATTTTTGTCACGGATGTTGTTTTTGGATTTCCAAGATGGACAAATGGACTGGTATGCTATAATTACTAAGATATTGGAATCTTTATATATGAAAGTACATATTACCTAGAGCATGGGGTGGGATTTTTCACAGAGAGACTATGCAGTGGGTTTGTGACTCTAGTGACAGAGCAACATTATTCCACTATGGAGACTGTCATTCCAGCCCCAGAGCAATTTATCTGGGGTCATTGCTCGGGGAGGGGTGTCATTCCAGCCCCAACGCAGTTTATCTGAACCTTGGGACCAACTTTCCATTGGCAGGGGCTGTTGCTCTCAAAACATGATGTTCTCATAAGGACCCTCATTCCAATCTCAGGGCTGTCATTCCAACTAGGGCATTGATTCCAGTCCCAGGGACCATCATTCTAGTCCCACAACATTTACACTGCTCCCAGGGATTATCATTCCATTCTGGGAGCTGCCATTCCACACCCATAATAGGTTTCTCTAACCCCCTTCTGCATTTTCATTGTAACCTTTCTGTCCTGTAATGTATCCTGACCTGGATAGCCCAGGCTAGTCCTATCTCATCAGATCTTGGAAGGTAAGCAGGGTCATCCCTGGTTAGTATTTGGATGAGAAACTACCAAGGAACAGCAGGGTGGTGAGACAGCACCAGACAATGGCAAACCATCTCTGAACGTCTCTTGCCTTGAAAATCCCACGGGGTCGCCATAAATCTGCTGGGCCCTTGAGGACACTTTCCACCACCAACGTATTTCAATGGAGCCCATACAAGTCAATTGGAATTCCTGGCTCCAATTATCTCCCATGGACCTTCAAGCCTCTCCCATTGTTGAGAGCACGCCTGTCATTCGTTTTAGTATACACACAGCGCTAGACGTGCTCTTGCGTAAGTACCAGATGAGCTCGACCACCGTGGGCTGACAAGGAGCAGAGCTCTAAAAGGAGAAATATACGCATGCGTGCCTGAACAGAGGCTACAAGAGGGATGTGGAAGCAGTAGGTGTCAGCTGGGACCATCGTCCAATCAGGAAGGAGCAAGTGGAAAAGGCTGTGATGTTGTCACCTGACTTGTGGTCGTCCGGCGCAGCGCCTGAAGAACGTCCGTCGGAGCTGGCCCTGAGTGAGGAATGGGGGCGGTCAGAGGGCTATTGCTGGCTCGAAAGGGCTGCAGGAAGCAGAGCTAGGTAAGTAAAAGGTGTCTTCTCGTGAAGACTCAGTGGTTTACGGAACGAGGTGAGAGGAAAACAGACCACGCAGGAGACTCTTCCGGAGACTCTTCGGCGTCTCTGTGTTCCCTATTTTTTTTCCCTCCTCGGGGGGGGGGGGGGGGCAGCAGGAGGAATATCGGAGGCCGCCTTGGGAGCTGCGCGTGCGTGTTTGTTTGGCATTTCTCGGCTCTTTCCGACGGAGTGGGTAATGCTGAGGGAGAGGAGGAGGTAAGCCGGTTGTGCCTTCTTGGGACGGGGGGGATAGGAGTTCGGCCAAGTCTCCTCGCCGGGATGTTGAAGCCTGGCGAGGGTGAGTCCCCGGCCTGGAAGGGGGCGGGGGCAAGCGGTCCGTTCTGGGCAGAGATCATCTCTCTAGCGACCTGGCCGATCTGAGTACCACGGCGAATCTGGGCCTTGTGCTGCCAACCGCACTGGGAACGGGCACGAAGACCTATTGCCTGCGGAGACCCATAAAGTGTGGAGAGAGTTATGCGAAGAGTCGGACTCGACTGTGCGACTGAACGGCAGAAATTGGGCTCTGTATGCAGCTAACAGGACCAACTAGTAAGCCTACGTTCAAACCCTATCGCCCTGTAACCACAAGCACAGACAAATGGACATCTGAAATTAGGCGCTCTTAGTGGCCTATTAAAACCCAATTGAATTTAATTTTGAATGAACTTGCCTTTAAGGCTGTAATACAAAGTCCTCATAATAGAACAGCTAGATTCAAGTCCAGGAGCACCTTTTTGTCGTTGTTCAGTCGCACAGTCGAGTCCGACTCTCTGCGACCCCATGGACCAGATCACGCCAGGCCTTCCTGCAGGCCCATAGCTAACATGGGGCCCACGGGGCCCAGTCCCCTTGTGTTTCTTCTGGGCCCCCTCCCTCCAGGGCTGCCCCCAAAGTGCTCCAACTTACCACCTGCACTGTACTTCCATTTAATTAGCTGGTGGGCCCCCCCAAGGCCCCCTCCCAAAGAATTCCCTAGCTACGGGGCTGCCTTCCTGTCTTCCGCCGTCCTCTGAAGTTGGCTCAATTTCATGTTCATTGCATCTATGACACTGTCTAACCATCTCATCCTTTGCCGTCCCCGTCTTCTTTCATCTTCAATCTTTCCCAGCATCAGGAGCACCTTAGATACTAACAAATTTATGGGGTAGGAGCTTTTGAGGGTCAAAGCTCCCTTTGTCTGATGGCACCAATAGCTTTGACTCTTGAAAGCTCATATCCTGTAAATTTTGCTGGTGTCTAACGTGCTATTAGACTCATATTAAGAGTTTACTAGACTTGCTTCTGAGTAAATGCATTAGGGTGATAAGTACCATGACAGACAGCAATGCAAGGTAATTCTGGACATGGTCTCCTTGATGGGGGGGTCGGTCAAGGTGTTGAGTTGCTCTAGTGTGATGAGAAGGAACTTGAATATGAAAGTTGTGAAAGGTGTTTGTACTTTAAAAAAATTGGCAAGATATAGTAGGGTCAGCTGATATACCTGGCAAGTGGCTGCATTTGATTGTTGGGAGCAATCTGGATCTGCCTTTTTTGTTGTACTTTGTGAAGATGCAGTGTAACTTTATTTGCTTCATGTATAGCTTGCCTTTTTCACTGATTGTGTAATATAAAAACTATTAAATCAGTCACCATAAGACTGCAATGCAAGGGGGCTAAGATTACTGAATCAGAAAACTATTCAAACAAAAACCCTTGTCTAAATGTGACATACTATAATGAAGAAAGTAGATTACAAAGACAGGTAACAATGCAGTAAAACCGAAGTGAGATATACAATAAACGTTGCGATAGACAGTAATCTTATTCCCTTATAAAAGCATCTTCCTGAGCTGTTCAGTTGTAATACAGTTTTTTAAATGCCTTCGTGAGCTGTTCTGTTTTGATAGGAAAATGGGAGCCTGCCTCATCTCAGTAAGTCGTTCCATGAGGTGGTAGCCACAGTGGAGAATTCACTTGTGGGCTGTAGCTGATCTTAGCTATTTGCATGGTCACACGCTCAGGAAGCTTAGCTCAGATGAGTGAAGCTCATGCACCAGAGAATAGTAGGAGAAGCACTCCTGCATTTATGAGGGTCCAAAGCCATGAAGGGCTTTATAGATGATAATCAGTACCTTGATTTGGACCTGGTAACTGATCAATAACCAGTGGATTAACTGTAGAATGGGTGTGATATGCATGCTGCACCAACTCCTTATAGCAAATATGCTGCACCGTTCTATACCAATTGGGATTTCTGAGTTGACTTTAAGGGCAGACCCTCATAAAGAACATTATAGTAGTCTAGCCTTGAGGTTGCAGTAGTATGTATCCACAATCCAGATTGGCTGAGTCAGGGTAGAGAGCCATCTTCTAGCTTTGTTATACCAGCAGTGTATCTTGAACAAACTGACAATTTTCAATACATTTTCCAAGGGACATGAAAAGTTGCCAGAATGAGGTAAACAGTAAGCAGGGCTCTGTTTCTCCTCATCGTTTTTAGGGGTTTTTGGCATTGTGACAGATCTCTAACTTAGCTATAGTAGCTGAAAGATACATCTGATACATTTTGTGCTGAATATCGTTCATATATTTTTTATTTTGCTTGGACGTGTGCCTCTGTGGATGCACAGTGATACCTCCAAATGTATAAGCTATAATTCACTCTTCTTGTATCAAGGCAAGTAATAATAGACTTAAAACAAACTATCCATTTTAAATTCAGGACAATGGTCAAAACAAAAAAGTGTCAACAGTTGAGACCTGCCTAAGTCTGGCTTTTGGAGGCAGATGAAAATTTCTCTGTTCATGAAGACTTTACAGCATAGTTGCCAATTTTTGATATTTATTATGATGGTATTGCTTTGTTTTGGTGTTCAGCTGTGTTTATTACTGTTTTATTCTTATTTGAATTCAGCTGTGAACTTTATGGAAAGGTGGTGTGAACTTTATGGAAAGGTGGTGTAAAAATACAGTAAGTAAATAAAGGAGTTCAGTGATCTTCCAACTTGGTCAGTACTTGGTGTTTTTCAAGGGGATGCTTATGGTATATCTTAATGCTTAGCCCTAAGCAAGAGTTTTGGAAATAAGGCCATCAGTGTAACATGAACTTAAGCAGTGATATACAGTTGCACACATCTATAGCTTGTCTATTGTTCTAGCTTTTGCTCTTCTTGGCTCTTTCCAGTTTGGTGTGGTGGTTAAGTGCGCGGACTCTAATCTGGGAGAACCGGGTTTGATTCCCCACTCCTCCACTTGCACCTGGCTGGATGACCTTGGGCAAGCCATAGTTCTGATAAGAGCTGTTCTTGAAAAAGAGCAGTTTCTGTTAAGAGCTCTCTCAGCCCCACCTACCTCACAGGGTGTCTGTCAGTGTTCCCTCTAAGCTGAGTTAGTGTGAGCTAGCTCACAGTTGTTTAGCCTCCGGCTCATATATTTTTGTCTTAGCTCAGGAAGGATGGCTCCAGAGCAAACTAATTTATGCAGTAGCCAAATCGCTCGCTCACAACTTTAATGCCAGTAGCTCACCAAGTAGAATTTTTGCTCACAAGACTCCACAGCTTAGAGGGAGCACTGGTGTCTGTTGTGGGGAGGGGAGGGGAAAGGAGTTTGTAAGCCGCTCTGAGACACCTTTGGGTAGTGAAGGGTGGGGTATAAATCCAATCTCGTCTTCTTCTTCTCCATGCCATAACAGTGAACTTTGATGATGGTCCAAGCATCGTTAAGGTTCCGTGTGCAAGCAGGGGATGGTGATTGGTGGTGTTTTGGTGGTGTTTAGAAACACCTCCAAAGCTTAACATTACACTTGTTGACAAGATCCTACTCCGCAGGTGCAATGATGTGAGTGGTAACACAAATTTCTGCTGTCCACAAAGATTGGCTAAAATTTAAAGATCCCTGAGTTTAAGTGACCACAACCTACAATCCTGTGCCCACCTACCTGGGAATAAGTCTTGTTGAACACTTCTAATTGAGCATGCCCAAATTGGGCTTTATTTTCTCCCCTCCACCACCCCATTCCAATCTGATTTGGGGGAAAAGCAGCACAGGGAGAACTGCTACTTGGTTCTAAGAAAGCACTGTCTGTGTAGTTTTCAGTGAGGTCACAGATTTCTTATTCTGGTCCTGTTTGAAGGCCTGATTGGTCTGCTGCTTCATTCCATACATGCTGTGCATAAGATTCTTCACATTTCACATGCGGAACCCATTATGTTTAAGGTGCACTAGACAGGAAATTCAATAAGTTTTGAGAGTCAGATCTTGATAAACTTGTTAGAATATCTTCATTAGACTGAGCTGTATTTAGGAAATGTTTGTCCTAAGACAGTACAAACTCTTTGAATTAAGAGTATTTGGATAATGTTAATTTAAGGATTAATTCTTAAAATTTCAGTTGTAACAGTCAAAACTCACAAGAGTCTCATTTCAGTTGAATATTATTGAAGCTGGCTAATGTAATAAGTACTCATTTGTGTTTTTACATTCAGGATGAAGTTATTGTTGATTTAGTGAATGCGCTTCTAAGAATATTTATTGCATTATTTGTAATACTAAGCTGTCAGCTGAGCTGCATGGCTCTCTCAACACCCGTTTAAAGGTTTTGTTTTCCAGTGACTGGAGTGCAACTGCACACTATTGCTTTCAAATTCAGAATTGTAAGATTGGGAAAAGCTTCTAAATAAAGATAGGAGGTAAAGATAGGAGTAATCTACAGTGTATTCAAATTCCTATTTTACTTAGGCCTGTCATACAAATGTAGGCAGGAATGACTTTAGCCACTTGAATGACTTGCAGGAGCACTCCTGTAACTTTTATATAAAACTTTTGTACAAAAAAGCAAAGATTCAAGTATGCTTACAAATGATTTATTTAGAGAAGCTATCCAAATACCACATTTAACAAATAAGGGGTTGGAGTGTAGTCCTAGAAATGTAGAAATGCAGCAGAAATACTAGTTGGCTCTTTTAGCAATTTCTGAACTGGCC